TGGTGGACCTCCTGATGGCACTGGTATTTCTGGCCACTGTGTGATACAGAGTGTTGGACTGGATGGGCCTTTGGCCTGATCCAACATTGGCATCTCTTATGTTCTTATGTTCCCCTCCCTGAGTAGGCTTGAGGTGGGGGGGAGCAGAGAAAGAAAGCAACTTTAACTTTAAATGCATTCTCAAAGCACCCCCCCCCAGCCGGCTTGGAGAAAACATCTGTCTCTTTAAATATCATTATCAATATCTGTTTTTACCCCCTTTGTTTTTATTTCTGGCAGTCTTATTTAATGTTAATTTAAAAAGCACATTTGCATATTTTCCCAATAAATACACGTGTGTGATATCTGTTCATGTCTTGCGGCTCTCAGACATCTGATGTTTCTTCTATGTGGCTCTTATGTTAAGTGAGTTTGGTCACTCTGGTGCCTATTTTCTCAGTTCAAACAGGGGATGAAGAAATAGAAGAAGAGGAGCTGGTTTTTATCTTTTCTCTACCTGAAGGAGTCATTTCTCTACCCGAAGGAGTCTCAAAGCCGCTTACAATCACCATCCCTTCCTCTCCCCCCAACAGGCACCTTGTGATGCAGGTGGGGCTGAGAGAGCTCTGAGAGAACTGTGACTGGCCCAAAGTCACCCAGCTGGCTCCATGTGGAGGAGGAGTGGGGATCGAACCTGGTTCTCCAGATCTGAGTCCACCGCTCTTAACCACCACACCACACTGGCTCATTTGCCAGAGGGTTTTCCTTTTCTCGTTTCATGTGATTCTTTTGTGGCATTTGTGGGATGCTCTTCCTAGCCAAACGCAGGCATCCATTTTCGTGTCCGTTTTATGAGCAAGTTGGTTATTTCGGCCGTGGGGCGGGACAGGCGGCTACAATTTCAACCGGAGCAATCCCTGAAGAAAGGACAACTTTCAAACTGAACCACAGTAACTGTGAAATTGGGCAATGCCCCTGCCACAAGGATCACCCACAAGAGTGTGCAATGGGGTGGAGTGCTACTTCATTGCAAGAGGGAACCAATCACCCTCCGTGGAGCAGGAGAGGCTGATTCTGCCCACTACCCCCTATATATGCTAAGCTACTTGGATTGATGCTGAGAGGATAAAACAGAAGAGGGGATGTCGAGGAAAGAGAGTGAAAATAATTTCCAGAGCTGTTTGAATTCTTTATTGTATGATTGTAAAAAGGTAAAGGTTCCCTTGCTCGAAAGCCAGTCGAATCCGACTCTAGGGGTGCGGTGCTCATCAAGCTGCTATTTGGGGACTCGAATGAACACACATGAAGCTGCCTTATAGTCCCCTGACCTGGATAGCCCAGGCAAGCCTGATCTCGTCAGATCTTGGAAGCTAAGCAGGGGCGACTCTGGCAAGTACTTGGATGGGAGACCGCCTTGGAATGCCAGCAGTCGGGAGGATGGGGGCAGGCTTTATTCAGCCGCCTCTCTGAATGTCCTCCTGGTCCCCCAGTAGAGGTCAGTCACCAGAGGTCGCCATGACTTCCAGGTGCACACACACGCACACACACACGCATGCACAAATGAAAATTACCCCCAAAAAAGCTGCCTTATACTGAATCAGACCCTTGGTCTATCGAGGTCAGTACTGTCTATTCAGACAGACAGTGGCTCTCCAGAGTTTTGGGGAGAAGCCTTTCACAGAACCTCCTATTTGGTCCTTTTAACTGGAGATGCCAGGGATGGAACCTGGTGGGACCTCCTGCATACAAAGCAGAGCCTCCTCCACTGATCTGCAGGCCCTCTCAGCCTTAAGGGGGACTGATCCCTGTCGTCTGGACGCAACGTTCCCTCTAATCTGTGGAGTCTTGAGAGCAAAAATTCTATTTTGTGAGCTCCTGGCATTAAAGTTGTGAGCGAGCAATTTGGCTACTGTATATTGCTCTGGAGCCCATCCTTCCTGAGCCAAGACAAAAATGTGTGAGCCAGAGGCTAAAACACTGTGAGCTAGCTCACACAAACTCAGCTTAGAGCTAACACTGGAGATCAGTTGTAATTCTGGGAGATCTCCAGGCCCCACCTGGAGGCTGGCAACCCCACTTCTGATTGCTTCATTCTGCCGTGGGCAGAACTGCCCTTGTTCTATGGCTTTCTCCCTTCACCCTTTGAGACTCAAGGCCTGCCTTCAACCACCTCTTGCGACATGGGCTCTGTTTCTGTTTTTGTTCTGCAACGGTCTGGTGTTTTCCTGCTTTCTCCATTTTTTTCTCTCCTTCACATTCTCTCTCTCTCCCCTTCTGAGGTCTGGATGAGGACTGAGTCCAAAGTATTTTCCCCCAGGGACTTTGCTCTCCTGCAAGAGCTCATTGCCACTGAGCAGCCTTTTCAGCAAGGCCCTGTTTGAATGCAAAAGCCCTCGGAAGAACAGTTGGGCTTTCACTGCTGTCGCCTTTCAAAGCCTTCGCTAATAAGCAAGAAAATCAAAGCGGTGCCAGGCCATAATCCATTTGGGGTTGAAAACTAACATTTATAAAACTATTAGGACTATAAACATGTGTATCAAAGAAAGTGCCCTGTTTACAACCTTTTGGCTGGATCTGATGATACTGCTGCTGGGTTTCTCTACCTCCAGGTGGAGCCTGGAGATCTGGAACTACAACCAATGTCCACAGTACAGAGATCGGTACCCCCTGGAGAAAACGGCTGCTTTAGAAGGTGGACTCTATGGCATTATGCCCTGTTGAGGTCCCTCCTCTCCCCCAAACCCTGCCCTCTGCAGGATGCACCCCAAATCTGCAGGAATTTCCCAGTCTGGAGTTGGCAACTCTAATTTGCCACAGTTGCCATTAAGTGTTTTTTTAAACATTAACTAATGCACTTGCATTTTTCTTTTCGCAATTTAATTTTTTTCAGTAAGTGTAAGTAAGGTAAACATTTAATCCCTTTAAGATTATTGGGGGATGGATGTTCAGTATTGAAGTTTAAAGCTGGATTTTGTTTTCATATTAGTGGCAGTTCCTGATGGTGGCTTTTTAGGAAAAAACGGTTCCAACCACAACTTGAAACCATAGTATCTCCTCCACTTTTTTGCCTGCATCCTTTTGGCTGACCTCCCAAGAGTCCGTTAATTGTTTCTTAGCTTAGGTTCCGCTGTAATTTAATGCTGAATCAACCCCCACGGAGGCCTTTAATTCTGGCAGCATCTTCCCTCCCTGTGGAATTTATGAACTGGGCACAGGCACTGCGAAGATGGAGCCAAGGAAGGAAGGAAGGAAGGAAGCCACTGTGGTGTATTCCTGGTCTGGCTATTATATTGTTATCTCATCCTTCCTCCAAGCAACTCATAGCAAGATCTTGCCTTCCCTACCTTACCTTCAAACCAACCCTGCAAGGTAGGCTAGGCTGGCAGTGTGCAACCGACCCCAGTTCGCCCAGCAGACCAGGGATCTGAATCCTAGTCTCTGTAACCCAGGGGGTCCCCAATGTTTTTGAGCCTGCAGACACCTTTGAAGTTCGACCACAGCGTGATGGGGGCGCAGCCACAAAACGGCTGCCAAACAATGTCTGCCGCGGGAGGTGGAGCCACCAGCCATAAAAAATTTCAGCCCTGGCTCCTGCCTGGTGGAACTCTCTGACAAATAACGTCCGCGCACTGCGGGACCTTGTGCAGTTCCACAGGGGGTGCAAGGCAGAGATGTTCAGCCAGGCTTTTGGTTGAGGACAGCAATGGGGACCCATCCTATCTGG